CCTTATTTTCTGAGAACCTTTTTTTTTTTTTTTTTTTTTTTATTATCAAAACGCCCCCTGAAGTGGTAGTGGTGCTTATTTTCTGAGAACCTTAATTTTTGCACATATCAGATCTAGAAAGTTGATAGGGAAGAAAATCAATTTGAAATGGAACATCACTGACTCGAAGGTAATGCGATTCGACAGGTCACTACTATGACTTTCCGCAAAGCGGGCAAGCTGCGATATTAGGCCTTTGAGATTCTTAGAACCAGATTTTCTGAGAACCTACCTTCTTCCCCCGAATAAAACGTACGGTCATTATAGCTGTATTTGAGGCATCTTGCAGTCTAGATACAGCTATAACGACCGTACGTTGTATTCGGGGCAAGAAGGTAGCTGATGTTCTGGTCTGGCATCAGACTTATGTGGTAGGTAGTCAAGTGGAGTGAGGGAAACATCTCGTGGTGGTGGCTGGCAACCGTCTGCCTGGACGTCCAGCTAATTCACATGGTAAGGATATCTGGTCCAGAGGCAGCTGGGACTTGGGCAAAGTAACAATCGCGAAATCGGGAATGAACCTGGCTGTCTTTGAGATCAGATTCGTTCAGTAAGTCCTAGAGTACGCAAAGTTCAAATCCTGCTGAAAGTCGTCCGCATTGCGCTTTACGTTCATTCCCCTGACACAAGGAAATTGCAGACATGGACAAAGCTCCAGGAGTGTTCATGGAGCGCAGTCGTCTTTTGGTCACGTTGAGACGGAGAGAATGACACAAAAACAGACCACGAGTTCAAAGCCTGTTTTTAAAGCCATCAAGCTTCAGAGGCACCATGCTTTGCAAGTGCAAGGAATTCGGCAAAATGACTCCGTAACTTCGGGACGAGGAGTGCTTTTCTTGGCAAAAACAGACGAAAGTGACACATATTCATTGGCCATTATGAAGCAGTTGGACCTATAGCGAAAGCTCAAGCAGTGCTCATCGAGAGCAGTGTATTTTACTATTTTCACACAGGCACAGACACAGAAAACGACACGCGTGCACACACACATAGCCCTTCACACACACTGTGTGTGTGCGTGTGTGTGTGTGTGTGTGTGTGTGGAGAGAGAGAGAGAGAGAGAGAGAGAGAGAGAGAGAGAGAGAGAGAGAGAGAG